CAATTGTCCCATTAGGTGACAACTGGGGGGGAAGAAAAGTGGGAAAACTTGTTGTGGTCAATCTGTTGTGAGAATTTATAAAGCTGGTGAAAACCACATCCATGCCTCTTGAAATGCTTTCCTGACTTCCTATATTTTTAGACAGGAGCTTCTCTTGTGATTTCTGCAGCTTCTTCAGCTCCCTTCAAGTGGCCTAGGATGGGTTTGTAGACTAGGAGGAGGTTCTGTGCAAGACATGTCAGTGGCCTTTCTGTCACCCTTCTCCACCCTGTAGGGGACCCTCATCCCTCCAACCATTAAAGGAGCAAAATATTCTTTCTGTAGCCTTCTTCAGTGGTGGGAGAGCTCCTGGAGGCATCTCCAGGTTGTGTGTGCACAACGCCTGGATGAGGGAGGGGCTCTTGAGTCTGGAGGAAGAGCCCTGCCTTGGATTAGATCTAAACAAAGAGGAGCAGGCCACTTTTTCTGTCACCCCTTTCACTGCACAGACTCTTGGAGCTGCTTCTGTATTTTAAGTCAGCTGTCCTAGATTTTAAGTCTTCTGTTTTCCAAGGCAGAAGGGACTCTGCCAACAGAAACCAAGAAAATGGGGGGAAAAACACCATTTTTTATGACATCAGACCTAAAGTCTTAACAAAAAGGGCTAGAACTCAGTCAAAGTAGCAAAATGGGTTTGAAGGGGGATGAGTTATCACCCATCCAGAGACGTTCAGTGCTTCATGTGGAAGGAGTTGGATTTTTGTGACATGATTCACTGAAGCCACAGCTGGAAAAGACATGGGGTGAAGGAGAAAGGAAGGAGAACAGGAGGAAAACAGCAGCAGCAGAGGCAGGCAGAGGGCAGAAAGGATGAGAAGGCCACAGGGCAAGGAGCAGGGCGGGTCAGGTTGCCAAAGCATGTCTCTGTTGCAGGTTCTACCTACCTTCTCCCCTTTGCTTCCTCCCAAAGCCTGAGCTACCAGTGCAGAGCCCCAGAATTTCTGAGGCTGTGCAGAGAGGCTGATCCCCCAGATCAGAGCTTGTTTGTTTTGTGCAACGTTGTGTTCAGCACCAGCAGGATCAGTGCTATAAAAACACCTAGGCTTGAGAGAGGTGGTTTCACAGGAGGAGGAACTGCCTTGGGGTTTGGTTCCATTAAGTCAATGTGGGGATGCTGCTGTTTGCTCCAAGTGAAGAGTTCCAAGCCCATATCTGAGTGTCTTAAAATGTTACAAAACATCTAATCTGTGGCTGAAGCCTCAAGGGCTTTCAGGAAGCTGCCTGGTCACCACCTCCTGCTGTTTTCCACACTCTGTGGGTCTTTGCAGGGTCAGGGTCTTTGCAAGCTGGGTCCTTTCCTGGTGTCACTCGTGGTTTCTGGAGTGAGTCTCCTCATTTTCTCTTCCCCCTCTTACCTGAGTGCTCCACTTGCACTTTGTTTCTCCAACCTGTGCCACCACTGGAGCTAGGTCAGCACCAGACAGGCTTCCTAGGAGCAGCAGCTGGAATCTGTAGGACTGTGAGGCTTTACACAAGCCACCTGCCTGGCTCCCTCTTACATTTTTGTGTCTGTCTCCAGCCCTGTTTCTTCCTTATATCCTTGTTGCATTCAGATGCACCCACAGTCGTGACTTCTTTGGTGGTGGTGCCACGAGCCAGTGCCTCCTCCATCAGCAGACCCTCCAGCATCCCTCCAACACATGACCCTTCCATGAGCTTCAGTGCTTGTTTCCAAACCCATTCCCCTGCCCCATCTGGCAGCATTCCAGCTCCTAGGTCTAACTCCAGAATGCTCATCTCCATCTCCCCCTAACAGACGTGACCCTAATGCTCTGACCCTCCTGCCTCTGATCCTTCTCACGGTGTCCTCACTGCCCTCCACACCTTCTTTGCTCTCTGTTGATGAACGTTGGCTCTCAAGGGGGGAGAAGACCTTAGTTACAGAGGCATGAAAAGTTTTGAAGACTCAGTGAGCCAAACCTCCATCCTCCTCCAGAGGAAATGGGATGTCCTCTCCCTTTCTGAGATAAGAGGGGCAGCCCTTCTGAGGCCCCCAGGAGGTGTCAGAGCCTAGGAGGTACTTTGCACCGAATGCTAGGAGTGGAAGATGGTTGGAGAAGCTCTTCTGACCCATCATCACCTGCATTTTCAACCCTTGCATCAGCCCAAAGGGGCTGGGAAATGAGAGGAGCAACACCACGCACCATGTTCACTCTTCCAGCAGAGCTGGCACCCACGTTGACATATCTCCAGAGAAAAATGGGAGGGCTTTTTGTCTACCCAAAAACCAGGACCTAGACCAGCCCCAGCGTGGGCTAACACACTGTTGTGTGGCCAACACCAGCACAGGGATGGCCTCGATGGCTTGGGGGAGGATCAGTTCTGTCTTGGCTGCAGGACAGGAGGGGGTTGTTGCCTAGGTTTTAATTACAAGCCCAGACCCTACAAAAAGCCAAGGAAGGAAAGGGTTAGTGAGATGGCCTAGTTTATTTTTTTTTCCAGCAGCTCTCTTTAAACATCCCTAAGGATTTCTTCCCTCCCATTAAAATGATACCTGAAAATGCTGATTGTAAGGAACCCAGTCGTGATCCAGGCAAAGAAAAAGCAGACTGTTAAACACTTGTGCTGCACTAAACCTCCAGGCAGTCAGAAGCCAGTAGGGCTTGGGGAGGAGAAAGGGTGGATGAGACAGGGGCTGCGTGTTTTAATAGGGTGATTAAAAAAATCCTGCATGAGGACTCAGCAAGTATGAGTTATATAATGTTTAAAAATGTTCTATTGCTCCATTCCTGCCAGTTGTACTTCTGTCTGCTGTATGCTGTCCACGTGAACACGAAAAGCTTCCCCAATTCCTGCAGGGCCCTGCTTGCTCTGCCCTCTTCTTTCCCCTCTCAGCTTGTGGAATAAACTGCTCAGCTGAATAACTAGAAATATCCCCCTCCCCTTTTCTCCCAACCTGGCAGTCTTCTCCCTCTCCAGCATTTTTTTCAGTGCTCTTCTTCATTCTTTCTGCTGACTCCATTTGCTTATGAAGATGAGGGGTCCAAAGCCACATAAGAACCAGATCTGCCCACACTCCTGCATTCAAGGCTGAGTGTTTGCTGCCTGCTTGTTTCCTTTCTCTTTGTTGAAAAGCAGTAGTTGCATGAAAGCAGGAAAAATGAGTCTGAGCAGGTAGGAGTGAGTCTGAGCAGGTGGAAATGAGTCTGAGCAGGTAGAAGTGAGTCTGAGCAGGTAGAAATGAGTCTGAGCAGGTGGAAATGAGTCTGAGCAGTTAGAAATGAGTCTGAGCAGGTAGAAATGAGTGAGCAGAGCACGCCCTCACAAACCTAAAACAGTTTTAGGGAAATCTCTGGCATCAGAGCCATGCATGTGGAGCAGATTTCTCCCTTCCCAAGCATTGGCATGCCCCTGGAAGGGAGCAGGTGGAGCTGCTGGTGGAGCTGCTGGTGGAGCTGCTGGAGTTCTGACTCCAAAACGACTGACAACTTGAGAGCCCTTCTCTTCCAGAGCCAGGCATGGAGACGTGAGCCTCCCCTGGCTCTTCCTTGGGGCCCATCTCTAAGGCTTCAGTCAGTCAGGGGAACGATGCCCAAACCCAACACCCATGGCACTGGTGTAACTGAATTCACAGACAGACCCAGGGCCAGCAGCAACTTAACCAGGAAGGAGCAAGCAGAGGGAGAGAAGGAAAGAAGCAGATGAATAAGAGTGAGACCCCTCAGTGTGTGTCCCAGCCACTGGATTTGTCTCAGTGCCCACTGGCGTGCAGAGGAAAGCAGCAGCTGCCTGGGTAGCACGGGGCAGGGGAAGAAGAGGAACAGGTTGAGGTTTGCAGGGCACAGATATTCTACAAGGAGCCAATCTCCTTTGGGGAGCTGGAGGATGAAATTCCTGAGGGGGGATAGAAGTGATTTGAATTTGTTAGAACAGTCGAGCCAACAATGTTGAGAAAAGGTATTAATGGTCACCAACAGGCATCACCTCCGTGGTGTGCATCAGAGAAAAACCACTTCCCATATCTGTGTTCAGGGGATTTAGTGTGACCCCTCCTACGGCTGATCAGGGCTGATCCCTCCATCCAAGAAAATGAAAAGGGAGGAAATCTTAATTTCCAGAAAAAAATGAAGAATTTAATTTTTCTTAATTAAGACCAGAAATGCCCCCAGAAGGCTGCTTGTCCTACTACTGGACCCCTTCTCTCAGTAGCACCCCAGAGCCTTCCACGCATCCTCTGACCCAGGCCCAGAGGTGCCTGGAGGTCCCATGGTGTAGAGATTGTCCCCAGTGTCCACGTCCCAGTGCCCATGTTGGTACCTCAGCCTGCTCTGGTGGCTGCCTTCCTGAGGTACCTTTTCCACTAGCACGTGGTCCTGCCCCCTTCTCTGGCTCCTCACTCCACTGGAGTGAGCCTCAGTGTCGTGGGGGTGTGTGTAGAGAGGCCATGGACTCAGGACGATGAGGAAGCAGCTCTTGACCCCGGTAGGTCCCAGAACTAGGCAGATAGCTGCTTCCACCCTGCACCGAGCATCTTCACGTCCAGGTCCCTGCTGGAAGAAGGCTCTGGAGGTGCTTTGGGGCCGGCAAGCACAGGCCACACGTGCAGGTGGCCACGCTCACCTCGGCCATGGATCGTTGTGATCTGTTGCCCTTGGAGCACTGGGCGAGCACGGAGACGCTCACGGAGCTCCACGCCTCTGCCCCTGCAGGTGTCCCATCCTCAACACTCTTCCTGCTCATTGTCTTCATCCCCCCCACACCCCCACGCACGTGGCTCTGGATCTCCTCATCATGTTCTTCTCGTTAAAAACCCCATTGTTCATTTGTTTGTTTGTTCTCTCTCTTTCTCTCCTCTCTTTCTCTCTCCTTCCCTCTCGTTTTTTTTTGGTTTTTTTTGGTTTCGTTTGTTTTTTTTTTCCTTTCTTTCTTCTTTCTTCCTTTCTTTTTTTGTCTCCTCTGTTTTGTGTACCCAGGCAGCCCATTGAGTAACTTCTTTGACGTAATTAAACAACTTTTTTCAGACGAGAAGAACGGGCAGGTGAGCCACCCCCCCGGCACGCCAACCAAGCATAGCGCAAACAGCAAGCGGAGCGAGTCCGGTTCTAATGACTATGGGTCTAGAGGAGACAATAAGTACCCTGCTGGCAAAGACAAGGCAAAGATGGTCTCATCAGTCGGCCTACAAGACCAACCTTAAATAAACACCTTAAAAAATAAATTAAATCACTTAGGAAAAAACAAAAACAAAAGAGCAAGAAAGAATGAAAGAATATTCCTTAGCGA